TGGCACCAAAAAACGAGGTTTAAATTCTTCAGATTTTAATAGCATTCTTCCAAAAGTCATACTGTCAACCAGGAATGTTTTTGCGGTTGGCATTTGTGATTTGTTTCCAAGAAAGTCTCCTAGTCTATATATAACAAGTCTTTTTACCTTCACTCATGTCATAAAACATCAAAGACCCTAATTTTTTGGTCTTTTTTAAACTTTCCTAAGGTTATCTAATAGCATAGAAATCTCAACTACTTTTCTTATGCCTCAAAACTTCTGATCTCAGAGCTCAGTGTCACTTCCTCAGAGATATTTCTTAACCCTGCCGCACTCTGCCCCTCCCTTCCACGTTTGTTAAATCCTGTTTTTCCTCTTAGAATGTGAGCTCCACAAGTGGGGTACATGTCTGTTTTGTTCACCAGCATATTCCCAGTATTCATAACAGGTCCTGGTCCATAATAGGTGCTCAACAAATAGTTGAATGGAAAGGAACGTTAGGCATCAGGGCTATTTAAGAAGAGGCACAGGTGATTGGAGGCTGTGGGTGATGATATGAATAAGGGGTATCTCAGAAGCAAGATTCAGAATGGCTTTATTAACTGGCTCATCTTTAGATAGTGGTGGGGCTTACATTTATTTTTTAAATTTGGGAATTCACTTATACATCCATTATGACATTAAGGAAATGCCACTTTAGTGAGGTCTGTTATTGCTGAAAATTGATTAGATGCTCAACATAAATCTGCTGATTAAAAAATTAGCTTATTGAACAAATGGTGATATATGAAAACATTTGGATAAAGATTCATAGTGAATTAGTGCTCAAGCAGTATTTTGAGCTCAGTGCTATAGTCGATCTGCCTAATTTGACCTTCCATTTAGAGTAGTATTTTTTTAAGATTAGCAGGGAAACTGTACTATATTCTCAGATCCAGTAGTTCTTTTCTTGCATGGATGCATGAAAGTACATTTGAAAAGAAAGGATGGAGTGTCGTAATAAAAGTGCTTTTTGCCCAAATCATAATATTCATGTGGAAATGGATGGTCAAAAGTTCTTTCTATGTAATATACCCCAAAAGAACACCTTGTTCATACATTATTTTGGTAAGCATTGACCATTGTCAAGTTGAGGTATTGTGTGTTCTAAAATAGAATGATACCATCTCAATTATTTCAAAAAATTTCAGTATTTTCCCAATGAAACATTTCCTCTCTGTGAATCTTCAGTGATCTGTTGTCCACTCATGTATCGCCAAATGCCCGGAAGAGAGCACTCAGGAAATATTTATGGAAATGGAATTGCTTGTGTGAGGGCTGGCAGTTGACCAAATGAAGTAGCAAACAAACATTGCTGGGAAAAAAGTCAGAGATGGCTTTTGTTTTTCTCACTGGGCTTTTGTTGGAGTGCTTAAAATTGTTTTTTGTTTTTTTTTAATGGTTCCTTGGTTTAATAGTTAAATGTTCTGCTAATAAAATAATTTCAATTGTTAAAATAGAGTTAGATAAATCACTGTTTTACCATGTTTCCCCAAGCGCATGGAATCTGGGTATTTCATGGCTTGCATAAGAGAGTGGACTCTTCTGGGAGGAGGAGAGGGAGGAGGAAGTGAAGGCAGATGAGCGGATGGCCGTGCCAGAGGCTCTGAGAGGGGCCTTATGGACATCATCTCATCAAATCCTGTGCAATTTTATCCCCCTTTAGAGACAGGAAATGAATTCCGAGGGTCCCGACAGCCTGCCCACAACCCCACAGTCTCACCTCCTGGAAGATAGGGGCCAGTGTTTGTACCCAGGTTATGCGGCTGCCTCTGGCGCTGCCGCTCCCCAGATCTGCTGTTCTGAGCCCACGTTCTTGCCGGGAAACCTGGGACTGCCAGTCAGCCTGGTTCTGAAACCTCTAGCAACAGTGAGGGCGGTTTACGTTGGCTTTTACAAAGCAAACTGAGTATTAGTTGAGGAGGCGTGAACTCACACTTTTCAAATAAACTATAGTATATTCATATAGATAGCACGTATGCATGTATAACTCTCTGAACTCAGATCAGTCTTCTGTCCTCACTACTGAACCCAATCTGTCCTTTATAAGGTTAGCACTGACCTCCGCATTGCTAAATCCAGTGGCAATTTTCAGTTGTTTTCTTAATCTTTCTGTAGTATTTGATGCAATTTTCCCCCTTTCTTCTTGAGATATATATATATTTTTTAACCTAGCTTCTAAGACACCACACTTGGCTGTTATTTTTTCCCATTCCATTGCTCACTCTTTCTTAGTCTCCTTTATGGATCTCTCCTCCTTCTCCTGAGGAATGCCCCAAGATTTGCATCTTAGACCCCTGCCCTGCCCTGCCCTGCCCTGCCCTGCCCTGCCCCGCCCTGCCCTGCCCCGCCCCGCCCTGCCCCGCCCTGCCCCGCCCTGCCCTGCCCTTCCCTTCTCTGTCTACACTCATTCACCAGCTAGTATCCCAACTTTAAATGTGACGGTATTCTGATCACTCCACATTTCTATCTGCAGGAAAGAACAGTTTTGTAATTGTATTCTCACGTATCTAATTGCCTACTAGACATTGCCAGTTAAATGTCTAATGGGCATCCCACACTTGACACATTTAAAATTAAGCTCCACATCATTCCCCTAAAACCCGTTCGTCTCGTAATCTTCCATATCTCTGTAAATGGCAAGTCCGTCTTTACAGTGGTTCAAGCCAAAAACCTTGGAATGATTCTTGATTTCTCTCTTTTTCTCTCACCTTATTTCCGTTGCATCAGCAAATCCAGCCAGCTCTTCTTACAAAATATCTCCAGAATCTGCTTACTTCTCACTGCCCCGCTGCCACTCCAGTCCAAACCACCAGCGTCGCTGGTCTCTTGTTACAAGAGCCTCCTTACTGGTCTTTCTTTCCTCCTATGCCAACCCACAGCCTGTTCGCAAAGCAAAAAGTGATGGTCTCAAAACACGGCCCAGAGTCGTTCCTTTCCTGACTCTTCAGTGACTTGATTCTCATCTTAGAATAAGATTCCAAGTCCTTACTATACCCTCCAAGGCCCTGCAGAACGTGTTCCCCAACCTCCCCAGGTAACTCTGTGATCTCTTCTCCTACTTCTGTCTCCCTTGCTTGCTCATCTCCAGACACACTGGGCTCTTGGCCGTTCCTTTCAAACCCAGGAATGTTCCTTCCTCAAGGTCTACACCAGCGGTTCTCGCCGATATCAGGAAGGCTCACACCTCATCTCCTTGCCTGATCCTCTCATTCTAACGATTTCTTTCTCTCCACAGCCCGTGTCACCACCTGGTTTATTTTACTCACTTATCTTTATGTATCATCCATTTCCCCATTAGAACGTAAGCTCCAGGGGAACAGGGATTATTACTTAGTTCCCTGTTATCAGGACAGTTCTGGAATAGTAGGCACTTAGTAAATACTTGTGCAGTAAATGGACAGCTGACTTGAGCATAAATACTTAAATCTATATCTAACAATTTGTAGATCTAATGTGTTTCGAGTGTTGATTTCAAACCCTCGTCTTGAGAGTGAGAAAAATGCCACATGTCACCCTGGATGTGAGAGTACTGTCCTCTGCCCATCCCTCCGCTGTGTGTCCTGCTCTGGAGGCCACTGGACTGCTCTCTGCTGTGGTCATGGAGGGCATTCTTAACTCTCTGGGGGCAAATGCTTAGACTTTTTACACTTTAGGGCTGTATCCTTTTGCATACTAGAAACCAAGAGTGTGAAATTGTCCTCTGTGCTGCATTAAGAGCCTACCTCAGCTATTAAGGAAGGCAAAGATTTCTCTAATTTGTTTTTTCTGGTTTAACTTTTAATGCCTAGGCAAGGATTTATAGTATACATACTTTCATGTATTTATTCCATTCATTCTTTTGGTATAATCCATATTCTTTACATCAGATTCATCCAGGATGGCCTACTTAATATCACTATAGTTAGTTTACATGTCAGTTATGTATAGTAAGGTCACCCAAAGAACTCCCACTATTATGCATTATTTCAGTGAGCAGGAAATTCTGTACCTGGGTTCTTGCTGATCTAGCTTAAAATAGGCTGAATGATGCATTTCACTTCCAGGGGCTATTGCTGGGTTTGGATATTCCCTGGTTCTATAAATAGCACTCCAGGGAACACTCAGGCACAGTGAACGTTCTCTTTGCAGTCCAGTTCAATGTTTGCAGAAAGAAAGTCACATGCTGTCTGGTTCAGTTGTAAGTCTCACCGCTCAGTGCCTCCTAAGTTCTAGACAGGCCCACCCAGTGGGTTTAGGTGCTCATACACTCAGCACACTTTGGTGCCTTTTTGTGTACTGTACTTTCTCTGCCTGGCCAAACACTCATCCTTTAAGATTTAGCTCGAGTGAGAAAGCGTTCCCTGAGTCGACTTGGTCGAAATGCCTTCTTGCTCTTCTATAGGATTCTCCACAGCATTGGGAGTTTACCTCTCCTATGGCAATTTCAGCATTACTTTAGTGTCTGTTACATACACACACACGTCCACACTTTCCTCACATCCTGGACTGAGAATTCTGAGACCGTGACTTCTGTATTTTTGTACCAATCCTCAACAGTTAGCATAGGAAATGCTCAGCAACGTTTGTTGAGTGAATATGACCGATTGTATGAATGGATGAAATTGCATTCAAATTGGGGAAGAGAATTCATTTGAGTTTGTTCCCAGTTTAATGCCTTTAAAAATATTTCTGTGTGTACCTTGGATTTCTCTTTTTTTCCCTAGCAGGCACTACTAGGTGTATGGACAATTTGATACAGGGGACAAAAAAAGTGTTCATTTAAATATACTTCAGAGAGTGCATTTTATTTTATTTTAAATTTCAAAGAAACAGACTAGTTTGTTCCTTACAAACTTCTTGCATCTTTTTTTCTCCATGTTCCCTTTGCTCTGCCCAATCTTCGGTCAAATTCCTCCAGAGGGTCTGCTGTAAACAATGATTTTGTTAGCAGTTGTGTGTTCTCTGTAGTGAAAACCCGCCTTGTTTTCTGTTGCTAGGCAACCCCATTCCAGCTGCCCTTGAAGAAATGTGCGGTGGTGGGAAATGGTGGGATTCTGAAGAAGAGTGGCTGTGGCCGTCAAATAGATGAAGCAAATTTTGTCATGCGGTAAGAGAGAGCACCCACAGCGTGGCCTCTGCCTTTTCTCCTTTCCCCCACCCCTCCCACAGCCCTGGCGCCTTTCAAAACTAGTCACTTGTGATTAATCAGTTGTAGCTGCTCTTTGGCTTCCCTTGAAGTTCATATACAAGTGGGTTTAGGAGAGGGCCAAGGGAACGTGCCCCAAGAAAGTACAAAGCCAAGAGAGGGTCCGAGGCCCTGGGAAGATCCCAGACTGGAAACATGCAGATTTTATTTTGGGTTACAGCAGTCGGGCGACTAAAACTTTCAAACATTGCTCTGAAGACTACCTCTGCATAAATGGATATTTTAACTTATTCATTTCATTCTACGCCGTTTTCTTCTTTTTCACAAAAGCATTTGTAATTGGTAGGTGGGATTTGAAGAGGGATTTGATCTGTGCCCAGGGAGGAAAACTGGAGGGAAGGAGAGGGAGTGAATGCGAGCAAGGAGTACGCTTGGAGCAGAGAGCTGAGCAGAGTGGTGACGTACGCGTCACTTCAGCAGCCGCCGCCCCGTGAGGGAATTGCTCAGACACATCCAGCCGACAGCACAGACCATCAGACTGTAGCGGCACCACCTATACTGCTGGGTGACTGTGACCAGGAGTGAGGACAGCAGTGGACTGGATTGACACGGGCTGGGGATTGAGTGGAAGGAAAGAAGCAGGGGGAGAGTGACAACGGGGAGGGTCCTGGCTGGAGAGCGGTGCAATCACAGGCTTCGAGTCTGGCTGGAGGGGGGGTGGGGGGCGAGGAGCATGAGGAGAAAAGAAAGGAGCCAAATGGGGCCACATGATAGATTCTTTCAGAGCCTAGAGCGGGTGCGTGGTGAGGATGATGTAAGAGAATGTAATTTTGGAGCTTACCTTCTCTGGGGATGCTCAGATGCGTTGTAGAAAAAGGAGACATTTGTTACTGAAAAAAAAAAATTGAAGGAACTCAGAGAATGGAAAACTGAGCAGAAGAGGGAGGGGGATTGGTTTTCATGTTCATTTTAGTTTAATAGGTCATGTTCTAAGTGGGGAAAGGTAGCTAAGAACACTAGTCCACCTCTGAGCTGTGAGCCAAGCAGAGTAGGGGAAAGTAAAGACGGTATCTGAGAGTGTTTATGGGGTTTCTTCTCAGAGAATGGCAGTTGGGCTTCCTGAGAATTTTTTATGGCACTGGTGAAGCCTGCGGCAGAATGGGGAAATCCTGTATCTACCTTTCCTGAGGCAGATGTCCTGCCATAGTTTTGCCCGTGTAGGAATGGCATTTTCCTTTTCATTGCAATTACTATTTTTTTTTTTTGGCAATATATACAAACAGTAAGAAAATGGAGAAGAAGATAAAAATAATGTTCTCTTCATTCAAGTCCATATAACTTCTGTTTATCGGGCACCTACACTATGAGGCCTTAGCCAGATCTGGAAATGTTATGTTGAACAATTCTCTTGTGGTTTTTAAAACCTGGAGGTGTGCTAGTGCTGTGATGGGGTAATTCAGGGATGGACAGTGGCAGGGTGGGCGAGCGGGGAGGTGGGCGGACTGGGACTTTCTGAGGACAAGTGGTGTCCGGGATGAGCCATCCTACCCTGGGCACAGGAAGAGCCTTTGGCAAGGCTTCAATGTGGGAAAGTCACCAAGGACTGTCGCAGGGTTGCAGTGTCAGGAGTCAGGAGAGTGGCCCCAGGTGGGGCTGGAGACATATTTAATCAGTAGAAGTGGAACCGGTTGCCTGCAGAGCACAGACAGAAGAACAGAGACCCTGGGTCAGATTCAGGTGCTCACTTCAATACGTTGGCATTTCCTGGGCAAGAAGCCAAGAAGTAGGGAGGTAGGAGGATAGGCCCTGGCCACACACCAGCTCTGTAATCTACAGCAAGTCATGTTACGTTGGCTGGGGCTCAGCTTCCTAGTAGGTATTTGAGGAGGTGGGTGCAGACAATTCTTCAGGGCTGTCCACGGTAGAAACTTCGATCCTACCTGTGACTATATCATACTGTGTAACTGTAACACAGTTCGCATAGTCTAGTTTAAACTTTCAAATTGCTCTCGATTCTAAATCCATTTGCTCTTTCAAAAAACTATGTAAGGAAGGGGGAATGGGTGATATTATACTCACAGATTCAGGGAAGGTAAGTGACTTGAAGAGTTCTTAATGCAATGTAGAAGGAGGCAGTACAATAAATGTCTTTTTTATATTATTCCTGAGTGTATATGTGTGTATGAGTACATTTAGGAAGATGGATATGTTAAAGGTAACATGGAAGACTAGGCCTCAGCAGAGGGGGTTATCCAGTGGGGCCATAAACCAGTAAGTTTGCCTTGTATAGTCTGGTGTTGATATATTCAAGTTTAGAACTAATGAGTTCCTGCGATTAGAGTGCCCAGCACAGTATGAAGAAGCATAATGTTTGCAGACGGATGGGAACAGCGAGGGTTGAAAAGAATTAGAAAAAGACAGTATCATGACTATAGGTATGTGTGCATGTGCCTTAATTTAAAGAATAGTGCTAGTTTCTTAACATATTTGAATTTTTCCAAAGTCTTAGTTGTGGTTTACAATATGGAAGTAATTAAATGTTGATACGTTATTTTAAAATTATCTTTACTTGACCATTTATGGATCTATTTATAAATGTCTGGCTGTTTAACATATATTTTTGGGTACCCTTAGAAAATCGAGATAGTAGCATATATTCAAGATTAAACATTTAGTAAATATGATTAGAAAGGACATAGTATGTCTGGTTGCAGACTTTAGGGTGTGTGGACAGTTACAGTTATGGCCTTACCTGTACACAGTGGTGTACCAGAGGACAGTTCAAAATGTCTTTCAGGACTAGAGTATAACAATGTCATAATTTTCTTTGCTTAGACATCTTCAAACACATCTTCTAACGCTAAAAATCAATTTCCCATTTTTCAAAGTAAACATCTGCTCCATAACCAAAATCAAAACTTTAAAAAATAATATTGTAGGATAAAATTTATCTGGAAAATCTGTAAGACAGAGATAAGGGTGACTGCATCTTAGAGAGAAATTGGGTGGCTCAGGCACAAGTGAGGGCAACATAATTTTTGTGTCTTCGAATTATGCTCAAGTACGTGTTTTGAATACTTAAGTATACATAAAATTTAAAAAGTAATTTTATGATTTTTTTTTCAATTTAAAGATTTCTGTCCACCAAGCCTATTCCCTACCCACCTCCACTCCCCAATTCAAAGAATGTTTCATTTTTCATCAGTTCTGTGATCACATCTCTTAGGATCATGAATACAGCTACTAAGACTCTAGCCATTAACATCTGTTAATTGTGCCAACAAGCGACAATACAAATTTCGAAGCACTTTTAGACAATTATGCCTTATTAGAAACAATTTGACTGTATTAAATGCACCTTTTACATAAACCTATGTAATTACCAGTTTAGCGGTTGAGGTGCCAAAATTACAGTGTGCTTTTTCAAAGAAAGGAGCTACAGGGAAGTGTCACAGACTTTTGCACTCAAAGAGAAGATTTGCCCAGAAGAACTTAAAGCAGATATTCACACCAAAATATAACTTAATTATTTTACAGAAAAGCATTGATAGAATATTATCTTTATTGTTTTAAGCATTTCCCTCTGCTATAGAATTTGGCAGTCAATATCTGCAAGTTTTTTGGAAGCTTTTACCCTGTGGTAGAAGGTACGAAGGCACCTAGACTTATGAGCCATGGATCTACCCACAAGGAATTCACAGAAAAAAACAAAGTATTTGCTTTGTTTAGCAATGACAAAGTCGATTGACAGCACCCCTTAGCAATAGTCAGAGTTTTATAGTTTGAATGCAAACTGGTTGGTTCTCAAATGTTATGAAGGACCAGCAAGATCAAAGCTTCTTCAAGAGACAAATGTCCAAATTTTAGCTTGTGTTTTATCCTGGAAGTCATCTTCATATTTGCAAAGATCAATTGCATCACAAGATCGCAGTTCGAGCCACTGCCAGAGGAGCCTGCTTGCTAATAAGCGCTGTCCCTCATAAGGGTCCTCAGAAACCACGTGGATGTCTTGTGACCACTTGGCTATAGACGCTTCAAGAGTAGGCCTGGGACTTGACTTCTGGGCTCCCCACAATGGCCACTGTGTTTGTTCTCAGTGGACACTCAGCAGAAGTCACTGACTAGCTGCCTAATTTGAGAGTAGCTGCCACAAGAACCAATATCTCATTACCAAAGAATGGATGAAAGGAAGATTCTAAATGAACGGAGACAGGTTTCCACCTAGGATGCCTGGATGTGGTAGGAGTCACCGGGTGAATAAGAGACATCAGGGAACTTGAGATGATAAGCTGAGTAGGTGCCTACACAGTTCCATGTTCTGGGGAAAGTTTGTAGGAAAAATGTATTAGTTGGGGAACTTAAAATATATTAATATTTATAAGATCTCTACCTACAAATAAATAATGCTTTAGTTTGTCGAAGTAATAAAAAGTTAGTGGTGCTTTGATGTGGCAGATGTCAGGTTAGAGATACGAGTGGAGAGGAGAAATTAGAAATTAGGACATAGCAGTAAAATGAAACCTAATGGAAACTGGAAATTTATTTGGGATTGTCATAAATAATAGGTGTATATTGAATAACATTGATATACTATTTCTGATATCTGATATTTTTGAGCTTTTATTATGTGTGGGACATAAAGCTAGAGACTGTTTATACATTTCTTCCTTTAATCTTTACAACAACCTTATTAGAAAGGAAAAGATACTATCCTCGTTTCGTGTAATGGGAAAACTGAGGCCAGGCAGGTGAATTAACGTGTCTAATTTCCACAGGCAGAACGCCATGGGATTTACAATGGCAGTTGCCATATTTTCCATTATAAATATTCATAAGACAGTGTAGCCATGGAAAATAATTGTGTGTGTGTGTGTGTGGGGGGGGGGGTGTTATTTCTGTCACCAGGAAAATATCACCTATACTCTCTCCCTTGACTGAACTGAGATGGTGGAGAATCATTGCATTTCTTTAGATGACGTATCATCATGACTTCAACAATAGTCAATCCATACATGGGTTATGTATGAAAAAGTGGGGCATGCATTGATTTAGTACATTATAATAGTACATTCAAGGCAGAATTTGCCCTGAATGTACTATTATAATTTAGAATTTGGAAAAAGAAGAAAAAACACAAATACAAATTCCTCCTTGTTTCTTGAGGTTTATAGGTATGCAGAATACAGTGTAGGCCCTGTGTCCCGCACCCTCCTGAGCTCTAATGTCAAGTCTAATATTCCCTGTTCTCCCTCCTCAAAAATAGTTCGAATGGAATAAATTAATTCTAGTAATGTCTCTTTCCTTTCATAGATCATTTACCTCTCCAGCTGGTGTTTTCCTTTCTTTTTTTTTTTTTAAACAGGACTAGTTATTATGACAGTGTTTTGAAGATGCTGATAGCCATCTGATGTCCATTAAAAGGGAGAGGTGATAAAAACCTCTTTGTGAATTGAGCTCTATTTAGTAAAATTCCTATTTGTTGTGGTAACTGATGATGTAAAAGTAAGTAAATCTTTCTAAAATGTCTGTTCTTGTTTCTCTAGGTGCAATCTCCCTCCCTTGTCAAGTGAGTATACTAAAGATGTGGGAACCAAAAGTCATCTAGTGACAGCTAACCCCAGCATAATTCGGCAAAGGTAAGCATTTATGACTTTTGGTGTTAGGGAACTAAAGAAGAAGGCTTTTGAAGTATTTAGCATCTTAAAGGCAGTGAGCATAACTCGGCTTAGGAAACAGAAGAAAACCACCTGGACAGGCAGGAAGGGTGAAGAAGGGAATTGTAAATAAACTAGGTGTAATTATGGGAATCCAAACACTATTTCATGCTTTAGCTGGGATTCTGTTTCTTGCCTTCAGAGATGGTAGAAATAGCATGAAGATCCATTGTTTTATTCAAAAAAGCAACACAATATCCTGCTGACTCATTATGACTACTTTCCAGTTTGGTGGCCTCAGTCCCAATTCATTGATTGGCATGGACTGTTGAACTGAATTAATATCAGTTTTATTAAGAAGAACAATTAATAACCAAACTACTGCATATGCATGCATGAAAACAGCAATATTGTCAGAATGTATAGGAATGTATGATTATGATATTATATCACATTATCTAAAATCAGATTTGGGAAAACATGAAAAAGTCTTGTGCTAGTATTAAACCTTGAGCTGCTGTGGGAGCTTCTGGGTGTCTGTCTCTAGTTGATGAAGACCATCAGTAAGCTTCATGGTGGAAAATGACTCAATCTCTGTGAAAGGGGAGTCAGATGTGGCCTTTAGACTCTCGTGTATAGCTAGCAATTAAGAATGACATCTCCAGACATTCTTGGCTGTGGTGCTTGTCATCTAAGGAAGCCCTATCCAAGGGAACAGCCATTGTGTGTCACTTTTTAAACAATGTTGCACTACTTGTTTTGGTTCTTAAGTAAATGTTCCCATAAAATAGATGTCTAGAAACACAACCACACAATTTTTAATTTTGACGGACATTGTGAAATTACTGTTCTAAATGTAGCATTTACTTCCTCTTCAGTAATGGATGGATAAGACTGCCTATTTCCTAATCCTAAAAATAACACTAATCTTTTAAATTTTTGTCAGTTTGTTGCACAAAAAATGATACATTCTATACTTACTAAATATGTATTTTTTCTGAAAACAAGAAAGGCTGAGTGGGTGTCAGCTATTAGAACTTTTGTGAATTGCCTATTTGTATTTCTGTTCATTTTTGTGCTTTAAAAAATATTTTCCTGTTGATTTATAGGAACTGTTTATATTATCGATAGTAAGTCTTTGTTTGCTATATATGTAACAAATCTTTTCTACATATCTTTTAACTTATATCCTATCAGAATTTAACATTTTTTATGCAGTGAAATTTGTTAATTATTTTCTTTATGCCTTCTTTTTATTAAAAAAAAAATCTTTAGATGATTTTTCTTATCCACATTTTCTCCAATGGGAAAATATTATACTTTATAGATCTAGTACATTTACAGTTTCATTTGTTCATATTTAAGAAATTTAGTCCATGTAAATGTATTTATTTTTATAACAATTTTATTGTTTTCAATAAAAACATATGTTCTTTAAGAAGCGAAAGATTTATGCGATCTGAAGAGAAACCAGAGTATGAAAACATATGTTCTTTATAAGAATTTAAAATAAAAGATAAAAGTACAAAAAAGAAGGTAAACAAAAGATCACCACAAACCTCACCATTTGAAAATAACAGTAATTAATATTAGATAAACTTTTTCTAGATATTTCATGTTCTTTAGAACCTTGAAGCGATTGTTCCATTATCCTCTTCGATTCCAGTGTTGCCAATTACAAGTCTAATAGGAATCTATTTTTTGTTTGAGGGAAACCTTTCTTCTATTAGTTGGAAGGCTTGAAGGTTTAGTGGTGAAGATTTTTTACTCTAAAGCGAGATGACTAGGGTTTTACTCCATTTGTCCACTTATGGGCTGTGTCTGTGTGGGATTGGCTACGTCACTTAACACCGTCTCCTTCAGTTTCCTCATTTGTAAAGCAGGGGTAATACTTTTAGCATAGTGAATTACATTACATATATATATGTGCATATTTGTGTATGTATGTATATCTCGCTACCTACTGTAATTATATACAATGCTTAGAACAGTGCCTGGTAGACTGTAAGCACTATATAAGTATTAGCAATCATAGTATTATTTTTTATCTCTGAACATTCTCTCTCTTAAGTGTGCTGCATGCGGTTGAGTCAGCTTCGAGACCTTAGGAATGAGTGATGTCCATGAAGTCTTGTCCTCAACAGCCCTGCCCAGCACCTGTAGACCCATATTTGGTCTCCCCCTTTTCCTGCTGCCGCCTCTTTTTCCCAACCCTGTTGTCTTTTCCAAAGAAACCTGCTTTCTCATGATGTGCCTGAAGTAAGGCAGATAGACACTCTCTCATGTGTCTGATTATCTCCTCTTACCCACTGTATTTGCTTTCTCATTCTAGTCCTCTTACTAGGTGGCTTTTAGAACCTCTGGATTATCCAAGACTTCTCACTCTTCTTGTACCATATAGGTGTGTGTGTGTGTGTGTGTGTGTGTGTGTGTATGCCGATAGGGCGCATGCAGGAGCCAGCTGATCAATGTTACACTCTCACATCAATGTTTTCTTTTTCTCTTTCTCCGTCTTCCTCTCCCTTCTCTCTCTAAAAGTCAATAAACTGTTCTTTAAAAAAATGTCACTGAAAAACCAAGTAGACAAATTTGTGAATCAGTAAATTAAATGAATGACCAAAGATTAGATTGATAATTAATTTTTAGTATAATTTGTTTTTGATGTATCAGCTAATGTAGAACAAGAAAACAAAAATATTATTCTCACAGTTTAGTTATTGACACTCACTCAATTCTTTTTATTATTTAATTAATTAATTTTTAAATTAATTTTTGTTACAGATGTTTCTCCTTTTTCCCCTCACTGATTCCCCCTCCCCCTCCCTCCCTGCCCTGTCCCCAGTTTGTTGTCCATGTCCACTGTTCATGCATACATGCATATAAGTTCTGTGGTTTATCTCTCCCCCACCACCCCCTCTTCTGGGGATTGTCAGTCTGTACCCCACTTCCACATCTCTGGAACTACCCCATTCCTCAGACTGTTATGTTCATTATATTCCACAAATAAGTGAGATCATATGATACTTGTCTTTCTCTGTTTGGCTTGTTTCACTTAGAATGACACTTTCCAGGTCTCTCCATGTAGTCTCAAAGGATGAGAGATCTTTCTTTCTTACAGCTGCGTAGTACTCCATTGTGTATATGTACCACCGCTTTTATATCCATTTGAGCACTGATGAACACTTGGGCTGTTTCCAGATCTTAGCTATTGTAAATAGTGCTGCTACAAACATGGGGGTACATATATTCTTTCTGATTGGTGTTTCAGGCTTCTTAGGGTATATTCCTAGAAGTGGGATCACTGGGTCAAATGGAAGTTCAATTTTGAATTTTTTGAGGTAACACCATAGTGTTTTCCATAGTGACTGCACCAGTCTGCATTCCTACCAGCAGTGTATTAGAGTCCCCTTTTCTCCACACCCTCGCCAACACTTGTTGTTTGATGATTTGTTGATGGCGGCCATTCTGACAGGTGGGAGGTGATACCTCATTGTTGTTTTAATTTGAATCTCTCTGATGATTAGTGATGATGAGCATTTTTTCAAATGTCTCTTAGCCATTTGTATGTCCTGTTTGGAGAGGTGTCTATTTAGTTCCTCTGCCCATTTTTTAATTGGGTTCTTTGTCTTCCTGTTGTGGAGTTGTATGAGCACTCTGTATATATTGGAAATTAACCCCTTATCGGATACATCATTGGCAATGATGCTCTCCCATACAGTGGGTAGCCTTCCTGTTTTGATGATTGTATCTTTCGCTGTGCAGAAGCTTTGAGTTTGATGTAGTCCCATGTGTTCATTTTCTCCTTTGTTTCTGTTGCCTTAGGTGATGTATCAGTGAAAATTCTGCTGTGTATGATGTCTGAAATTTTGTTGCCTACATTTTCTTCAAGGGTTTTTATGGATTCATGAGTCACATTTAAATCTTTTATCCATTTTGAGTTTATTTTGGTGTAGGGTGTAAGTTGATGGTCTAGTTTCATTTTTCTGTATGTAGCTGTCCAATTTTCCCAACACCATTTATTAAAGAGGCTGTCCTTACTGTATGCTCTTGCCACCTTTCTCAAATATTAATTGAGCATATTGCCTTGGGTCCATTTTTGGGTTCTCTGTTCTGATCCACTGGTCTATATGCCTGTTCTTGTGCCAGTACCAGGCTGTTTTGATTATAGTGGCTTTGTAGTATAACCTGAAATCTGGTAATGTGATCCCTCCAACTTTGTTCTTTGTTTTCAAGATTGCTGTGGCTATTCGAGGTTTTTTTTTTGTTGTTGTTCCATATGAACTTTTGAAGTACTTGTTCTAATTCTGTGAAGTATGCCGTTGGTATTTTGATGGGGATTGCATTGAATCTATAGATTGCTTTGGGTAATATGGACATTTTAATGATGTTAATTATTCCAATCCATGAACAGGGTATGTGCTTCTACTTTTTTATATCTTCCTGTATTTCTTTTTTCAATGACCTGTAGTTTTCTGTGAATAGGTCCTTTATTTCTTTGGTTAAGTTTATTCCTAGGTATCTTAATTTTTTTGCCACAATGGTAAATGGGATTGTTTTCTTAGTTTCTCTTTCTGTGAGTTCATCATTGGTGTATAAGAATGCCATCGATTTCTTGACGTTATTTTTGTATCCTGCTACTTTGCCAAATTCATTTATTAAGTCTAGTAAATATTTGATGGAGTCTTTGGGGTTTTCTGCGTATAGTATCATGTCATCTGTGAATAATAACAGTTTCACTTCCTCCTCTCCAATTTGGATCCCTTTTATTTTTTCTTCCTGTCTGATTGCTGTGGCTAAGACTTCCAGTACTATGTTAATAAGAGTGGTGAAAGTGGGCATCCTTGCCTTGTTCCTGTTCTTAAGGAAAATGCTTTTAGTTTTTGCTCATTGAGTATGATGTTGGCTGTAGGTCTTTCATATATGGCCTATATTATGTCTAGATATGATCCCTCTATTCCCACATTGCTGAGTGTTTTTATCAG